TTCCCTTGTAGGGAGACAAGGGCCTGTTTCAAGGAACTTGCAGACTAACGAGCCCTCTCTCTCACTGTAAGGAGGTAATTCTCTGAGGGTCTTTGGACATGAACACGTCTGGCATTTGTGGATCCTAGGATTTAGAACAACAAGGGACCTCAGAAATCACAGGAATTACCAATCAATTACCAAGTATTTATTAAGCACCAGACCCTGGGCTAAACGCAGGGAATTCAATGGTAAAACTTAAGTAGCTGTTCACCTCTAGAAGCTCACATTTTAACTGAAGAGACAATCGGTAGGTACATAAATAAGTGTAAATACTATACATAAAAAACTGGAGGGGTGGGGAAGGCACTAAAAACTGGTGGAGTCAGCAAAGACTGCTGTAGAAAGACGACGTACTTCAGTGAAGTCTTGAAGCAGTCCAGGGATCCCAAGAGGCAAAGGTGAGGTGGCAGTGCATTCTGGGAGACAGCCTATGCAAAGGTATGAAGGTAGGAGATGGATGTCATACATAAGGACCGAGAAGATGGCCAATTTGAATAGAATGTACACTGCAGGAAAAAAATCATATCAAGGCATACATACAATAAAACTAGAAAAGAAAGACGGGGCCAGGCAGGGAGGGGCTGAAAATAACAGAGGAGTTTCTACTTCATCCAGGAAGCAGCGGGGTAACAAGACAGCATAGCGGGCAGGGATGGTCAGACCTAGGTGATCACTCTGACAACCTGGGGATGACAGACTGGAGAGGAGAGAGACTGGAAGCAAGGAGGCCAATTAGGAAGCTTCAGCAAGAGTTCAGAAGAGAGGTGTTTGAGATGGAACCAGGGAAGTGGCTCTGTGGATGAGGAGAAAGATGGATTTGAAGAGGCAGAAACAAGCTACGGTAACTGGCTGGATAAGTCCAGGAAGTGAGAGTGAGGAGGCAAGGATGACAAAAAGGTCATCCTTGGGGGCACGGGGCAACCTATCCCCCTCATTTTAGAGATGAGGATCAGAAGGTGCAATAGCTTAGTGACTTGTCCGTGGTGATACAGGGATATAAGGTCAGAAGAAGGATTTGAACTGAGGTCTCTCAACTCTAATTCCAGCCCTATTTCTATAGCTACGTCACATAGCATAGGAAAATCTGCTGTTCCTTCCCGAGGAGCCAAGATTCCTGATGCCCTTCCACTTTTCAAAACATCAGTAGGCCTGACGGCTAATCATCCTGCTTCTTACCTTAACCCTATTCGTGTCATCCAGTTGACGTGAATAGTTTGGAAATTAACTTCTTATTTAAGCATGATCTACTGCTTCTGTACTGAGCCAATACTTACAGGAAACAGTGATTCATTCAGAACACAACGTCACAACCAGCCACATAGATTCTGGGCCATCCTGGGTGAGCCACCCCTTCTAACAATTAGGTACTCTCTCCAAGGCTAACTCTTGACACACATCACTTCAAAGTAACACTGAGTTACAAACGTACATTTGGGGGATTTGTTTTTACACTTCTATGTGTTAGGGGGGGCATGAATCCTACTTTACAACACAATGTAAAACAAATGGCAACAAACTTTGGTCACAAAAGCCTGATCTGATGATTTATAACACCAACACTTCTTTCATTACAGTAACAAATTTTTTTCCAGTTTTTAATGAAAGATTAAAACATTTGAATTGAAAGGTGGCGCATATATAAATATACATACATATATATTATATACATATATAATATGTGTGTGTGTGTGTGTGTGCACAAATGTCAATGTTGGAGCTAAAATACAATTCATTTTGATTCAACACAGCTGGTGTTTTTAAATACTGTGGTCAACAATACATTTATCCCACAGGTATGAGATTCTGAAGATGGCTCCACTGCTTTTCTAACAGGGCTCTCAGGGAAGATTTCTTTCCATTGTTTCAGGAAGCTCTAAGTACTCTGGGCTATATTTCTATGAGGATAAAATGGGGTCCTTGATTTCATTGCTACGATTTGAAAGGCCCTCTCTTTTCAAGGCTTAGTGGCTAGAGTTCTGGGTCTGGATTCACTTAGATCTGCGTTCACATTTTACCTCAGACACTTACTAGCTGTATGCTCCTAGGAAAGCCACTTAACCTCTTTCTGCCTCAATTTCCACAACTGTAAAATGGGGATAATAACAGCACCTCCTTCCTAGGGTTGTTGTGGGAATCAAAGGAAATATCTGTAAAGCACTTATCACACACAGTAGGTGCTAAATAAATGCTTATTCCTTCCTTCTCCTCTTTATCTCTTATGACCCTTTTTGGAAAAAAAATCACCGAGAGCAACACACTCAAAGCAGACGTTGAGCTATTACAAAAATTTCTCTAGCCCAGAAATGAAGGCTCACAAGGCACAGACTACTATTATTTTATGGGCATCATAAGCACCCTGAGCTCACAGCAGTAGTATGCTCACAGTAGGTGCTCCATAAATGTCTCAAAGCCTCACTCCAATGCCCCATCATGGTATGGTGATAACCTAGGTTCCTGCAGTTTAGATCTACTCTAGCAGATGGTAGCATGCTACAAAAACTTCCAGTCAGGTCCTCCACAGGCATGTCTTTCATCTGAAGACCACCCCAGCTAAGGATGGAGAAGTTCATCACCAAGCTGACTGCAGGGGGATGAAATCTGTTGGCCACAGCAGTTCCTGAAAATACCCTACCAACTAAGACACTGAGGAAGAATGAAAGGAGTACGCAGACCAAGGAAGTCAGGAGTCCTGATGCCAAGAAATACTGACGCGTGCACTGCAGGCCAGACAAGGCCCACTGAGGAGCCAGCCGGTCTGTATTCCTCAGAACTAACTCCAACCCACGGACCCATAGTTCTGAGTGTCTATGGCAGGGGAGGGGAACCTGTTGGTCCATGCCCACCCACCCAAGCCCACTCTGTTTCTTACCTCCTCCTTCCCTAATCATCTCAAACCGTGCTATTATCTTTCTAGTTTCAATCTACTTCTACTGCTGGCCCAAAGCTTTCTCTGAGCTGCCTTGGTCACCAAAGAATAACAGCACTTGTCCAATAACAAAAATAATTGACATCTATAGAGCTCTTTAAAGTCCACAAAGAACTTTACATATAATCTCATTTGAGCCTCATGACAGCCCTGCGAGATGGGTATGAAAGGTATTATTGTCCCCATTGTACATAAGAGGAAACAGATTCAGAAGTTAAGTGACTTGCCTCTGCTTCCATTAGCTAATAAACATCACAGGGATCTGAACCTGGACTTCCTCACCTATTCATCATGGTCTAACTCTCCTGACCCTCCAAACTGCAGACTTTCCTTGCTCCCTCAGCTTCTACCACTGTTAGTAAATCATTTTTCAAACTACTTCCTGTTTCCTTCCTAGACGCCTGGGTTTCACCTCTGATTCACTGCTTGAGGTGAGATTCCTAATTCACTCTCTCCCAGCAAGTACTAGGCCACATCCCTTAATTACTACTTAACTCTTCATAAATTTAACCGCCCTGTAAATTTTTAAAGGATCTCTCATTTCCTCAGCAGGATTTAGATCCAATGTATCTTCAGCTAAATAGATTAACAATAATAATAATAATAACTGCCATTCATAATACTGCTTCAAAGTCTGCAGCGTGGTTTACACATTCTTTTTTTCTTCTTCCTCCCTACATTTCTCTCTACCTCCTCTCAGTTTTTGTCTTAACTTTTCCTATCTGTGTTTTGTTCAGCTTTTCTTGATCTCTCCTTGTGTGTCTTTTAAAGTCTGCCTGGCTCTCCTCTGCTGTTTCCATTCCTGTCTCCCCGTCTCTTTGTTCTACTATAGTTTCACCTGATCCTCAAGACATGCCCCTGGAGTACGCGTGACACACGTTATCATCTCTTTTATACAGGAAGTGTAAACTGGCGCTCAGAGAATCTAAGTGTCTAAGAATCTAACAGGCCCTAGGAAGGTGTGAAGCTTACTCAGGGAGGCAAAGGCGTTTACCCAAAGTCACAAGGCTAGAGAAGCTGGAATGAAATCGGAATGTCTGGATGCCATGCCCAGCACCCTCTCCACGCTGCCAAGCTGCTCTCTAATCATTAACAGATGTAATTAGAATTCCATGAAGGGCAAGTTCTGACCACTAGTGCGGTACCAAAGAAGACACTCTGGAGTGGAGAAGAACCGAGGGGAGGGCCGTATTTAGAGATCTTCACAAGAACACAAGCTTACTTACTTACAGGGAGCGCTGCAGCGGGATGCTTTAAAACAACGTCTCCCGATCTTCCCCCGAACCTGGTGCTTTCTCCCAAGTTACCTCCCATCTATTTTTGTACCTACGTATACCCCTTGTAATCTAACGGGCTGCAAGCTCCTTGAGGGGAGAGCCTGATACACCTGTGTCCTTGTACCCCCAATCAATCAATCAACATGGTGATAACGGCTTCGCGACCTGCCCTGGAAGGCAGGCAGACCTGGGTTCCGGCCCCACCTCTGCCACAAGACTGGCTGGGGGATCCGGCCAAATCACCCAACCTCTCTGTGCTTTAGACGATTCTCCAAAGCACTGAGTGGCACTGACGGAGGTCCGCCGGCGTTGGTGGAGGGCTAATGAAATAACCGCTTCCTGGTCTCCACATGCCAATAAAATGTCGGAAGCGCCTGCTATGCGTCAGGCAGGGTCCTGAGCGCTGCGCGGAAGCGCCGTAAGGATAAGAGCCGTTTGCGCCTCCAGCTCTGGGTCACACAAATGGCAGCCCTCAAGGCGCTTACACTCTACTCTGGCCTCGCGCCGCGGCTGCGCTGGGCTAGCTAGGGTGCGCGCGCAGCCCCCGCCGCTGATTGGACGGCGGCTCGGCCTCACATCCGGGCTCGGAGGGAGGCACCCCATCTCACCTCTGGGGACAGCGCTGGCGGCGGCTGCTGCGGCCGCGGCGACTGAGTCGGCGGCTCCACTCGGCGTCTGGCCCGGCTCTTGGGCCCCGAGGCGGTTTAACACAGCATAGCCACAGCTGCGCCGCCCATTGGCTGCCCCGCCGGAAGTGCGTCAGCGCGCACGCGCAGGAAGGAGCGGGGGCCCTGCCCGGGGCGGCCTTCCCGCTCGCGTGGCCGTCCGGCTGGAGCCTCCAGGTAGGCGGGGCCGGGGTGGGCTGGGCTGCTCGACAGCCGGGGACCCCATTCCCCCCCAATGCCCTTGGCCCCGAGCCATTCCCGACGTAGTACCTTCTCTCCGTGCGGTCCGAGGCAGAACCTCCGTAGGGCGGCGGGAGAAGCCGCAGGGCCCATTCCGTCTCCCTTCTCCGCGCCTTTACCCAGGCTGGCGCCTATGCCTGGGGCGCCTTCTCCGCTCCTGCTCGCTCCTGCCTCCCTTTTCCTTGTAGCACACTTGGCGGTGCTTATAGTGTCACCCCCGTGGAGCGTAAGCGACTCGGAGGCAGGGGCTGTCTCATTGTCGTTGCTGTGTCCTTGGCACGGGGCCTCGAACACAGTTGGCGCTTAATATTTGCTTTTCACTCAAGTTAGAGAACCTCCTCTTGAGGCCCAGCTCTGCCACTGAATGCCTGAGGGACCTGGGAGAGGTCACTTCACCTTTGTTTTAACATTTGTCAAAAGAGAGGGTTAGGCCACGTGTATGGGGGGGGGTCTCTTCCAGCCCTTTTGCCCCTGGAGGGCCTCAGACGCCCCGCTGTGTGACCTTGGGCAAGTCACTTCACCACTGCCTGCCTCAGTTTCCTCATCTGTAAAATGGGGATAATAACAGCACCGACTCCCGGGATTGTTGTGAGGATCACATGGGATAATAATTACCTGCTTAGTATAGTGCTTGGCACATAATCATTCAGTTGTTTTTCAGTCGTATAAGATTCTTGGTGAGCCCATTTGGGGTTTTCTTGGAGCGGTTTGCCATGTCCTTCTCCAGCTCATTTTACAGATGAGGAAACTGAGGCAAACAGGGTTGAGCGACTTGCCCAGAATCACACAGCTAGTAAGTGGCTCCAGGCCAGGGCTCGGTCCGCTGCCCACCTCATACAATAAGAGCTGTGTAAACGTTAGCTGTTAATGTAAACTGTACAATGGGGATAAGAATAGCACCTACGGCCCAGTGTTGTTGTGAGGATCAAATGAAATAATATTTGTAAACCGCCCAGCACAACACGTGGCCTCGATGGAAGTTAAATAAATGTTAGGTATGTCGTTGTTACTTGGTGAGCTAAGATAGAAGAAAGAAGCTTTACCTTTATCTCAAGGAGGACAGGAAGTATAGCGGAGGTGAGTGTAGAGGAGGAGAAGGATTCAACCACTTGCTCCCCTGGGGCCCCATCTCTATTAGGCAGAACCTCAGATTTAGAGCTGGAAGGGCCCTTAATAGCTAAGATAGTGGTCAGCCGCCTGGCCTCATCCATCCTAAACCTTTTTTTCTGGCTTCATTGCAACCTTGCATGTTTCCATCTGTTTTCCCCAGACTTTGGTCTCACTTTCCTCTCTTCAGAACCTGAACGCTGATGAGCTAGTTCAGTTTTACCTGGTGCCTGCCCTAGGATCCCTTATTCCTCTGTTGTCTTCCGGGATGGCTCCTGGTTCCACCTTTCCTGCTTTTGTTCTGGTCCCAGATAGAGGAAGTCAGAGGATCCAGCCCAGGCGGCTGATAAGCACTGAGCTGAGGATATAAAGAAAAAGCAGAAATGGGCCCTGCCTTCAAGGAACTGACATTTTATTGTGAGACGTGACTGGTACATAGATGGGTACTTAGCAGATGCTAGGTAACATTTGAGGGGAAGGCATTAACTAGCCTGAGGAAGAAAAAGAAAAGCCTCTGGCCTTAGCTGAGTTTTGTGTAACAGCCTTACAACAGTTAGTTCCTTTTAAGCTGAAGGGTAAATATAATGGTTCCCTAAGGTCCGCTTGATTTTCTCCTGTTTAACTTCAGGTAGTTTGTTTTAGATGAAAAGTCTGAATGCCTAATTAGGAAAATTCCCAAGACCTAGGCATGTTTTGAGTTTTGTCTAAACTTGTATTTTTCTCTCTCTTTAGTTAACCCCTGGCCTTTTTGTATTTGAGGCAAAATTTCAGTTTGTTAGAAACATTTGGGTAACTAAATAGCAGATTATGTTATAATGTCTTTGGATAGACAGTCACGGCAGGGTGGGGGCGGGGAGGAAGGAGGAAGTGTTAAAGGGCTGGGTAAGATGGGGAAAGGGCTGCCCTTTTCTTGAGACTTAGCTCAGACAGTCTAAGACATGGGAAGAGCTCTCCTCACTATCTCCCCTCTCCACAGCCCAGTGTGCTTTGCTCCTCATAGGTGTACTACAGATGTCAGGCTCGGCCCGTCAGGGTCTCGTCCTCCAATTCTGAGATGTACAAATTGCATAAGAAGTGACTCAGTTTCACACAATGATTTTGATTGTCAGTAAGCATTTATTAAGCACCTACTGTGTGTCAGCCACTTCACTAAGCACTGGAGATACAAAGAAATGTTTTTCTGAAGCACAGATTTGACCATTTCACTTCCCTTCTCAGTACATTGCATTGGCTTCCTCTGACCTCTGGCATCAGATATAAACTCCTTTGGCATTTAAAGCCCTTCTGGCCTTTCCAGATGTTTTATATGCTGTGGTCAGTCCAGCCACACAGAGCGCTCCCATGCCCTTCTCCTTGCAGCCCTGCACGCTGGCTGTCCCCCATGCCTAGGGGTCAGCTTGGTTTTTTCCTCCTTCCTCACTTCTGCCTCTTAGAATCCATTGCTTTATTCAAGACTAAAACCAAGGACCACTTTCTGCTGCTGGTGCCTTTCCTTCAGTGTTATCTTGTGCCTTTTTTGTATGTATTTTGTACCTATCTGGATGTGTTCAGGATGCCTCCCCAGGAAGAGGTCCTTGAGAACAAAGATTGTTTTCCTTTTGTCTCTTTATATCTATGAAGCATGACATATGACACATAGTAGGGGCAGCTAAGTGGTGAATGGATAAGTGCTGGGCTTGGAGCCAGTCAGGAGGACTGGAGTTAAATCCAGTCTCAGACACACTCTAGCAGTGTGACCCTGGGGAAGTCACTTAACCCCCAACTGGGGGGGTTCATTTTACATATGGAGAATCTCCAACATACTGAAGTGAACTATCCAAAGTAATTCTCTCTTGGTGATTTCCTCATGAAGCCAGCTGCCACTTCTGTGCCTCTGTCTCCCGTTACTACACATTCAACCTTCTTCTTCCTGAGCTTTAGTTCTTCATTCCAGCCGCCTACTGGACTTGCCTCTGGCATGTCCCATCCCAGGTTTCTCAAAATCAGAATGTCCAAAATATCATATTTTCTTTCCCCGTAAACCCACCCCTCCTCATCCTTGTCCAGACCTCCCTTTATCACTCTTCTCCTGAAACATTACAGTAGCCTCCTCATTGGTCTCTCCACTCTGTAATCCATCCTCCCCCCGAGCTGCCAAATTGATGCTCCTAAGCCATTTCCCTGGCTCTAGAATCTTTAGTGGCTCCCCATTGCCTCTGGGGTAAAGCACCAGCTTCACAGTCTGACCCCTCCAATCTTTCCAAGCTGATTACAGGTCCCTGACCTTCTGTCAAGCTTACATCCTTGCTGTTTGCTGTAAGCAGCTGCCATCTTCTCTCCTTTCTTTGTGCCTTGGGCTTGTGACTCAGGTGCTCTCCTTTCTCCTTTCTCCCAGTTCCCTTTAGGCTTCATGCCACCTCCCTCAAGAGGCCTTTCCTGATTCGCCCTGTTTATGGCTCCCTGCTGGGCCACTTGGTTTTTTATAGCCTAGATAGATAGATAGATATCTGCATATGTGTGTATGTCTCTGCAAAAATGTCCCCCTCCTCCCCAGTAAAATGTGAGTTCCTTGAGGACAGGAATTGTCTCACTTTTGTAGTTGTCTTCCTAACATAGGGCCTAGTGCATGATAGGTTCTTAATAAATGCTTAATAAAGCACACTTACAATAAAACCAAGGAATAATCTCTCTCCTTTTGCCTTTGCTTACATCCTGTGCCCTCTCTCTCCTTTGCCTGGTGAAGGCCTATCTTTTCAAGCCCAGCCAAAATGCTGCCTTCTTCAGGACGCTTTACCTGATCATTAATGACTAACCGCCCCCGTACATAAAACTTTGTTTTATCACTCTAATACATTGAATACCGTCACACTTTCAAGCTTAGGTCAAGGACCAAGTCTCTCATCCATAATTTCTAAAGTCTCAAGGCCACAGGTTCCTCACCCCTCTTCTAAAGACTCCAGTGCTTACCTAGCGCAGTGCTCTGTGTGCTGAAGTAGGCCCTCAAATGGTGGTGGTTGTTCATCCAAGTCCCTTGTACCCACGTGAATTTTTCCCCCCTCTTCCACCATCCTAGAGTGGAAGAGGCCCTTAGGGACCTTGGAGCCCAACTTCAGCCTGATTCAGTACAACCTGGAAGAGTAACCACTAAGCTCTTTTAAAGAAAGGCTTCCATTTGTTGGCTCCAGAGAGAGTCTGAAACTGACAGGCTTGGAAGTGAGCACTCAGTCCCCTGAGGTCCTAAGGAACAATTTCTCAGGGCCTGAGTTTCAGATGAAGCCAGTGGGCATAGGACAACAGTCTGAGACCTGAGACTTAGGCAGTTGGGATGCTCTGTTACTTTAGAAAGTCAATCTTGGGGTTTTGATGAAAGTTGTAATGCTTTCACTGAGTACTAGGGGGTGCCCTTGAATTGCTTTCTTCTGAATTAGTCTAGATCAGAAATATTTCATCATTTAATTCAATAATAATAATAATGGCTACTGTTTGATAAATAATTATTGAGGGAGTTTCAAAGAAAGTCCTGAAATTGATTCAGAAAATTCAAATATTGATCCTTTATGACTTTTATCCAGACTTTCAGTTTCATTCAGTAATTCATTAATATAAACAATTGGAGTAGGAAATGGATATTTCTAGACATAACAGATTAAGTACCATATGTAGCCATAGCATTTCTGTATTAAGTTTGACTGAGATTGTCCTCATTTACATGTTTTGTGTATTTTACATTGTCCTCATTTACATATTTGGTGATTGCTCTAATGCAAATTTTTAAAAGCTCAAGTAGAAAAAATGGATTTTTAATTATAAACTTCAGAATAATCTTGAGTGATTTGAGTTCCCATTTCTAACCCACCTAACAAAGGCATTCTGAGCTGAACTCTGTCATCTCCAGAATGACTTTGGACTGGTCACATAATGTGTGTCTGAGATTCTCCTTACGTAAAATGAATAGGTTGGAATAGATGGGCTCTCAAGCCCATTCCAGCTCCACATCTTTCTGAGGCCCTCTCATGTATAGGGAAATATGAAGTTCTTTAATTATATGTGAGTTGGTATTTTGTGTACCTCGTTTTATGCAATGAGTTCTTAGAATGTGTATAAATTCAATTTATAAAAACTCACCCAAGCTAGTTTGTCAATTCCATTATGAACACTGACTTATCTCATTGTTTTATATGCTTGGTATCTCAATCTTTTTTTTTTTGTGGATGGGGTTTATTTTTGCCACTGCTATTCAACTCTTAGCATCCCAATTTATGTTCTTTAATTGACCAACTCTTTGAAACTTTATTTCCCGTAAACAACAGCAGGAATCACTTAGCTAATTTTAAATTTAATTCATATGTAAGATTAGTCTGATCAGCTTTGTTCTCATTTTCTAGGTACATTTATCCATCTTTCTATGAAAAATTAAAATGGCTTCTAGAGGAAAGACAGAGACAAGTAAATTAAAACAGAACTTAGAAGAACAATTGGACAGACTAATGCAACAGTTGCAAGATCTGGAAGAATGCAGGTAGTATTAACAAGATTTTGCGTTATTACAATGAGAAAAAAATGTTTGAGCTCCCCAAACTAGATTGTAAGCTATTTGAGGGTAGGAACATGGCACCTGAGCAGGGACATAGTAGAAAAGGCCCAGATAATCAGGAATCAAGACACGGCTGGCCCAGGTGTCCTCCTTTTAATGGAGGCTCTGGGAGGAGCCAGAGATTCCTCCTCAGGGAGGAATGAAGCAGAGCTGTGAGGGCGTGGGATGCTTGTAATGTGAGGCATCCAGGAGCGGAAGGAACTTCCAGGGTGAAGAGCTCTCAGCTGTTTGTCACTGTGATAGAAAAGCTCCACCTTCAGTAATGATACCATTCAGAAATCTAGGGAGGTCATAGATAGTCTTTGTCATCTCATTGACTCCTATGCCTTGAATCATCGCCTGCACAGAGAGCCACTCCTAAGCTTATTCCTGAACTCTGTTCCCCAGACAGAATGGGGAACTTCTGGGTGGGCTCCTCCTGGACAGACTGTAGAGATCCAGAGTGGAGTCATTGCCACCCTTAAACTTGCCTTCCTCAGCCTTCCCTGTTCCTTTGGAGGGCACCACCATCCTCCCAGTCACCCAGGTTGATAATAATGTAGACATCCTTGACTCTTTTCTCTCTATTCCCCCACAACATCTCTTATATTCTTTCCCCTTCTCCATCTACAGACCCACCACCCACGGTTAGGCCTTTCTCATTTCTTACCTGAAACACTGCAGCAGCCTTCTCATTGGTTTCTCTACTTCCGTCATCTTCTCTGGGAAAAGTTCAGTGGCTCCCCATTGCCCAGAGGACACAGTGTAAGCTCCTTCATGTGGCATTGAAGTTCCTCCACAGCCTGGCTCCCAACAAACTTTCCAGCCTTCTTTTATAGCACTCTGCATTCCAGCCAGACTGGACAGTCGCTGTTCTCTGAACTCTGCGTTTACCTACTGCTCCATGCATTTCCGTCCAAGCCATGCCTCCTCATCTCCAGCTCCCACAAACCGCACTTCCTTTAAAGCTTAGCGCAGACCCTTGCTTCATCCCCTTTCCTGCTCTTCTCTGGGTCTGCAGTGCTTCCCTCCTCAGTCTGCTTGCTGAAGTTCTGCACCTTCCGTGAAGCCCACTTCCAACACCAGCTCCTTCAGGAAGCTTCTGCTGATTCTGCGCCATGGTTCTGATCTTTCCGCCGGGATCTCACATAGCAACACTTTGTGCCCTTCGAATACATTGTGTCCTAGTTACGTGCACTTGTGTCACGTCCGTCTCTGAAATGGTCAGCGTCATTAGGGCAGTGACTGCTTTTTATCTACGTGTTCTAGTTTCCTCTGGGCTAGCACTTTCAGTGGGCACTGAAGAAAGCGTTGTTGAATTGCGCGATCTTTTTTAAGATTAAATTTTATTTTATTTTTAAACCCTCGTCCTCTCCCTCCTACCCTCTAATTGAGAAAGCAAGAAAAACAAACCCTTGTTACAAACATGTAGAATTGTGCGAAACAGGCCATGTCCAAAAACACATTCCTCAGTTTGTCCACGGAGTCCATCCCCTCTCCATCAAGAGATGGGCAGCATGCTCATCTGGAATGGGGTCGTTATTGCACTGACCAGAAGTCCTGAATCTGTTAGAGTTAATTATCTCCACGATGTTGCTGTTATCATAGAAACTGTGTTCCTGGTTCTGTTCACTCCACTCTGCATTAGTTCATACAAGTCTTCCCAAGTTTCTCAGAAACCCTCCCCTTCATCATTTCTTGCAACACAGTGTTTGAATTGAATGATAATTTACGTAAGTAATAATGTAGAAGCCAGTCCCTGGCTCCAGGTACCCTAGTTGTCAGATATTATTATACTACCAATAAAAGCTTTTATTTGTACAATACTTTAGAAAGCATTTTCATATGTTATCTCCCTAAATCTTCACAGCAACCTTGAAGAGATAGCTAGATTTGAAGTCATAAAACCTGATTCTGCTGTGAAAAATAAAAATGTTAGACCGGATGACCTGTAAGATCACTTCCAGCTCTACATCTATGATCCTTTTTCTTTTTTTTTTTTTTTGTTTTTTATTTTAACATTAAATTTTTTTATTTTATTTTGAGTTCCAAATTCTCTCCCTCCTGCCATCCCCTACCCTACCTATTTAGGAAGGCAAGCCATATGATACCATTGCACATCTAAAGTCATGCAAAACATATTTCTATATTATCCATGTTGCCAAAAGGGGGGAATAAAAAAAAACAAACAGAAAAAATTGCTTCAGTCTTCACTCCGAGTTTATCAGATTTCTCTCTGGAGATGGATAGCATTTTCATCATGAATCCTTTGGACTTGTCTTGGATCATGGTGTCGATCAGCATAGCCAAGGCTTTCACAGCTGACCATTGTTACAATATTGCCGTTGCTGTGTACAGTGATCTTCGGGTTCTCATTTCACTTTGCATCAGTTCATGTAAGTCTTCCCAGGTTTTTCCTGAAAACATCCTGCTCGTCCTTTCTTATAGCACAATAGTATTGCATCACAATCATGTACTACAACTTGTTCAGCCATTCCTTCATTGATGGGCAGCCTCTCAATTTCCAGTTCTTTGCCACTACAAAAAGGGCTGCTATGAATATTTTTGTACACATAAGTACTTTTCCTTTTTCTTTGCTCTTTTTGGTGCATAGACCTAGAAATGGTATTGCCGGGTCAAAGAGTACAAATAGTTTCATGCCCCTTTGGACATAGTTCCAAACTGTTCTCCAGGATGGTTGAACCAGTTCACAACTCCACCAACAGTGCATTAGTTTCCCAATTTTTCCATAGTCCTGCCAGCATTTGTCATTTTCCTTTTCTATTACGTGAGCCAGTTTGATAGGTATGAGGTGGTATCTCAGAGTTATTTTAATTTGCATTTCTCTGATAATTATTTTGAACATTTTTTCATGTGACTACTGATAGCTTTGATTTCTTCCTCTGAAAACTGTCTATTCATATCCTTTGACCATTTATTGATTGAAAAATGGCTCTTATTTTTATACATTTGGCTCAGTTCCCAAATATTTAATAAATGAAGGCTTTATCAAAGAAGCTTGCTATAATTTGGAACTATGCCCAAAAGGCTATAAAACCCTGCATACCCTTTGACCTAGCAATACTAATACTAGGTCTGTATCCCAAAAGAGATAGAAAACAAAAAGGAAAAGGACATATATGTACACAAATATTTATAGCAGCTCATTTCTGGAGGCAAAGAATTGGAAATTGAAGGGATGCCCATCAGTTGGGGAATGGCTGAACAAGTTGTGGTGTGATTATGATGGAAATGATGAGCAGGATGCTCTCAGAAAAACCTGGAAAGACTCGCATGGCTGATGCAAAGTGAAATGTACTGTGTACAAAGTAACAGCAATATTGGAGGATGCTCAGCTGTGAATGACTAAGCTATTCTCAGTAATACAGCGATCCAAGATAGCTCTGAAAGACATATGGTGAAAAATGGTATCAATATCCAGAGAAAGAACTGGTGGTGTCTGAATACAGATTGAAGCATACTTTTTTTTTACTTTATTTTTCTTAATTTTTTTTGGTCTGTTTTCTTTCACAACATGACTATTATGGATATGTTTTTCATGACTACACATGTATAATCTATATCAAACTGCTTGCCTTCTCAGTGGGGGGGGTGAGGAGGGAAGGAGGGAGAATTTAGAACTCCCAGTTTTAAAGGTGAATGTTGAAAATTGTTTTTACATGTAACCAAGGGAAACTAAAAGATAAAAACAAAGAAGCTTGGTATAATAATTTTCCCCCCAGTTTCTTGCTTTCCTTCTAATCTTGGCTGCATTGGTTTTGTTTGTACAAAACCTTTTTAATTTCATATAATCAAAATTATCCATTTTACTTCCCATGATCTTCTCTATTTCTTGTTTGGTCATAAAATCTTTTCTTATCCATAGATCTGACAGGTAGTTTTTCCTTGCTCCCCCAGTTTGCTTATGATAATCACCCTTTATGTCTAAATTATGTACCCATTTTGACCCCCTCTGTCACTACGCTGCCCCCCTAGTCTACTAAGGATGCTTAGATGAGAACTTTCCCTCGGCCATCCTGCATGTTGATGTGCTTCATTACGTCTCTTTCAGAGAAGAGCTTGAAGCAGATGAATATGAAGAAACCAAAAAAGAAACTTTGGAACAGCTGGGTGAATTCAATGATTCGCTGAAGAAAATTATGTCTGGAAACATGACTTTGGTAGATGAACTAAGTGGGATGCAACTGGTAAGCTGTCTTAAGTGTTTGGAAGTATGTTGGAAATGAAGTTGTGTACATGTGCTTTTATTGGTGCGGATTCTGGCATATAGCAATTGATTTCTGTGTATACCAAGCAAGACAGTCTGTGCTTCCAGATGCTCCCGTCCCTTGTCTGGGAGAAGAGCTCTGTGATGTCTGGTAGGCAAGCAGAAATGCCATGGGAAAGATAGCCCCGATCCGGATGGAGAGCTGCCGGGCTCTCGTAGTCATTGAGGCATCTCTGAGATAGATGTTGTCATGACTTTGTGCCTCCTTGTACTTCCAGGCCATCCAGGCGGCCATCAGCCAGGCCTTTAAAACACCAGAGGTTATCAGATTGTTTGCAAAGAAACAGCCAGGGCAGCTGCGGACAAGATTAGCAGAGGTAATGTGGGCGCTTTATCCGTGTAATCCTTGTTTGTTCACTTCTGCTCCTGCTCCCAGGTTTGCCCAGTTTGATGTTCTGGCTGTAGAAGCTGACACCAGAGATTTTCTAACCAATCCAGTACCGTGCTCCTCTCTCATGAACTTTGCTCCTCTAATGCCCCCCTCAGATGCTCTCTCCTCCAGAAAGCCTACCCTGTAGTAGTCATCCACTTTCCTGCCTTAGTTCTCATGGTGCTTTGTTTTCTAACTCTGATGCCCATAATCGTGTGATTTTGTATATTGAGGTTATCTCAGTCCCTTCGTGAGGGGCTATTGGTGCTGGGGTTACCTATCTATTTATTTTTTAATATCTTAACCCCTTACTAATCTGTAAGCTCCATGAGGGCAGGGGCTATATGTTACCTAAACTTTCTCTCTCCCTTAGCAACCTAACACAATGCTTTGCTCACATTAGGCACTTTATAAAATGTATGTGTGTGTGTGTGTGTGTGTGTGTGTGTGTGTGTGTGTGTGTGTGTGTGTATGTATATATATATATATATATATATATATGTTATGAACATATTATATATGTTATTATGTTTTGTCTCCCCCTTAAACTATCCAATAATTAACTTTGTTGAGTAGTGACTGTTGAAAATAAAACTCTGGAGGGGGCAGCTAGGTGGCGCAGTAGATAAAGCACCAGCCTTGGAGTCAGGAAGACCTGAGTTCAAATGTGGCTCCAGACACATAACACTCACTAGTTGTGTGACTCTGGGCAAGTCACTTAACCCCAATTGCCTCACCAAAAAAAAGAAAGAAAGAAAGAAAATAAACTCTGGAAAAGTAAGAAGGTAAGGTAAATGAGAAAGATTTGAACACGAAGGCGATGTGAATACAAAATTTATCAGTAATTTTTTTAAAAATTTACTCTCCAAAATAACATCCCTAGGGGTGGCTAGGTAGCATAATGGATAGAGCACCAGCCCTGGAGTCAGGAGGATCTGAGTTCGAATCCAGCCTCAGACACTTACTAGCTGTGTGACCCTGGGCAAGTCACTTAACCCCAATTGCCTCAAGGAAAAATTAATAATAATAGTGTTCCATACCTAACAAAAAGAAAAGATACCCAGGAAGTTCTCAGATGTAATAGGATGGCTTTTGTCTCTAGTCTACCCCTAAATCTAGAGTTCACAAGCTTTTCACCTATGGAGCTCCTGTTGCAACTTCCAGTGGTGAGGCATTAACAGTGTTCCTTTATACTTACACAACATCTCCTCTAAGAATCTCAAAGAACTTTACAAGTGTAATTAATGACACCCAAGAAGTATTCCACTTGTTTTATAAACTTCAGTATACCTGAGGTGCTAAAGCCAGTTAAGTTTTTGGGCACCTGGGGAAAATTCAGCCATTAGAATGGTTTGAAATAAGTTCCAAGAGATCGGATTCCAAATTGCCCTTGTCAGAGCTGGAGAGCACATTTCAGCCAAATGAAACGAGTACCCAGGGAGTGGTTGTTGTCCGCCCCACAAGACTTTCGGTCTGCTAATTTTCTACTTTGTAGAAACCTGGCATCGCCCTCACAGGGGCTGGCAGGGCAGACCTTTGTCAGTCACTGCCATGTGCAGATCCTGGCCCTGGAACAGCTCATCTTCACAAGTAATTTATCCACAAAGTCTTTTTTTTTTTCAAATTAGAACTGAAAGCTTGGCTGTTTTTAAAGAAGCTGCTAGAGTACTTCCTCCTTGTATTTATCACTTTTAGATGGACAGAGACCTGATGGTTGGAAAACTGGAAAGAGATGTATACACCCAACAGAAGCTGGAGATACTGACCGCCCTGCGGAAACTTGGAGAAAAGGTACCACCATGCCAGGGTTCAGTGCTTTTAGCACAAAGGAAAATGTCATCTCTTTGTCCCAGAGTGCTAGATCAAAGTTTTCCTGCCTATGATTTTACTTCTGTGGGATAGAGGGGTTAGGGCAGGGGTGGGAACATGCAGTCTCAAGGCCTCATGGGGCCTTCTAGGTCCTTGAGTGAGACCTTTTGACTGAATTCAAGTTTTACAGAACAAATCCTTTTATGAAGGGAATCTGTTCTGTGAAGTTTGGATTCAGTCAAAGGGCCGTACTTGAGGACCTGGAGGGCCACATTGGCCTCAAGGCTGCAGGTTCCCCATCCTTGGGTTAGGGAATAGCTCCCCACCCATAGTCTGTTGCTCCAGAAATATATAGCTATAGATAGCGGGGAAGGGGAGGGAAAAAGAGAGGGAGAGGAGCTAAATTGTATGATAACCTTCTAGAGCGAATGATTCCCTCCCTCAGTTCCTTTCTAATGGAGTGCGCTCTAGCCCTGAACTGAGTCAGAAGAGGCTTCGGTTGGAGTCTTGCCTTAGGCCTTTGGTGGTTGGGAGGCATCGGTCTCAGCTCCCTGAGCTCTGTAATACAGACCATCATGCAGAGAAGAGTAAATGAGATACTGTGAAGTGCAAAGGTCTGAGCAGCCCTACATGGAACACTAAATGAATGGCAGTTCCATGGGTCTCTACCTATGGCCACAGTCTGCTTCAACAAAACACGGTACAGGGGCACTCTGCCATCCTGGTTATTTCAGAGAGATGGAACTGTAAACACTGAGCTAAGTCTGGATTCCAGCATCAAAGCCACTGACCCCAGCTTCGTGCTCTTCCCCTGGGAGAAGCTTCCCAAGGGTCTGTCACATTGAACAGAGCCATGCATACACACACACCTACCTTAGAAACCTGGGCTTATGACATCTACCTCTTCACAGACTGTTTTTTTCCCTTTTGCAATAGCTAACTGCCGACGATGAGGCCTTCCTGTCCACGAATGCAGGCGCCGCCCTCAGCCAGTTTGAGAAAGTCTCCTCTGACCTTGGTGAGTCTCTGCCTCTTTCCAAGGCCCCAGAGTTGATCACTTCTCTCTGCAAGTACGGTGAGGCAAACCAGAGTCCCTTTCCCTGAGGGCAGCATCAAACCTAAATTGTTGTCTTTTCAAAATTGATCTCATTTCCCTTCTTTCTGAGAGCCTTACTGGAGATGCTGCTGCTGTTCTGGAAATGAGGCCTTTTCACCACCACATATTCCCAGCATTCATGAGCACATCACTGTAAAGTGAAGTGGGCTAAATGATTTCACTTCAGTTTTCCTCTTTCTGCGCCCCACGTCTGGAGATTGGGAAGACCCGTTTGCTTACATTTCCAACAGTGAGGATTCCTGCCTCCTGAGTTCTCTTGCCATAGTTGCATCATTTGTGGCTAGAGATTTAAGGTCGGTGGAAGGCATAGGAAGACATTGTCCAAAAGCAGGCTGATTCTTTCTCCTAGCACCATGTTGATGTAATAGTTCCCAGGCTGCACACTCTTTAAGATAGCCTTAGGTTATTTATTATCTGCCTTCTTCCTTCCTTAGGCTCTGGGGACAAAGTCCTCGCTTTGGCAAGTTTTGAAGTAGAAAAAAACAAAAAATGATGAGTTGCTGTGTAGAATCCCTGGGCATTGGTCATGGTACAAATGGCACGTTTCTGTTTTCTACTGCGGATCTAAAGTCATCTCTGAAAATTCTAGAGAACCTGGAGCCACATTAACAGCATAAGAAAAGCATAATGGAGGCGTCCTCTGGCCCTGTCTACGTGCTTCACGTGTGTGTGTGTGTGTGGGCAGCGGCAGAAAGATGTGCCTCATGGATGGATGGATGGTCTCATTAAAACACACACACACACACACACACACACACACACACACGCATGCACGCACACGCACACACACACACACACACACGCCCCTTACTTTAGAAGGGTCTGTCTGTGGAAGGGGGCAGAGATGAAGGAGGAGGTCATGTCTTCACCGAGAGGCTGAATTTCTCTACATCTCTGCTTTTGTTGCTTATGCTGATGTTGAATGGAGCTAACAGTAACAAAAGCTTCTTTCCCTCTTCCAACTATCCCTTCTCTATGGGCTTGCTGGTCTTTCCATGTCCTTAGGGCTTCCCAACTCAATGGAGCTCTTAAAGGAGTGAGATGATTTGTTCAAAGTTAGTGGCACAGTGAGTCAGGATTAGAACCCAGATCTCCGGACTCCCAGTTTATCTCTTCCTACTACACCATGCTGCCTTCAGTGCCCCCTAAAAGTGGTGTCTATATTTATAGAGTCTTACTCTATACAATTTAAGAAAGGTATTTGTGGAAGCATGGCTTTTTTGAAAACTTTGTATCCTAGCAAAAAACGGAGCATCCCAGCAGCCTGTCTGCTCTCTGTATGAATGGAAGCCATTGTAGCTCTGAATGTTGAGCAAGCAACAATGGGGGCCCTGTTGGGGGGAGCCTCATGGAATCACCAAACCTCCCATGTTGTCTGGCCAGGGAATCAATGGGAAACAGCACCTCGAGGCCTGCCCTCTGTGACCTGTGGCTGTGACCCTGGGCCCGTCACTGGGAGCTGCCCCTCCCTCCCTGGTATTCCAGGTCTGTGGCATGAGCTGTCGGGAACAAGGCACCAATGCCCATCTTGCCATGTTGGCGTGTGTGTGTGTGCACACACATGTGCTCTTTCTCACTTCCTTGTCTGGTGCCATTCTTGATTCTGTTTCCCCTACTTTCTTTACACATCACACAAAACAGCAAATATCTGTGAAGCTGTCTATGTATTTTAAACTGCTCTTTTATTCATGGATGGGAAATTCCACCTTAGGTAGAAATTGTGCCGCCTTCTTTTTTTTTTTGAGCTAGGCAATCAGGGTTAAGCGACTTGCCCAAGGTCACAGAGCTAGTTAAGTGTCAACTGTCTGAGGCCAGATTTGAACTCAGCTCCTCCTGACTCCAAGGCCAGAGCTCCATCCACTGCACCACCTAGCTGCCCCCGATATTATGCCTTCTTTAGCACTAGTAATAGGAGTCCTTGTTTTCTGGGGTTCCTGGTTTGTGGCTTTTAGCCCCGCTTACCTCCTGTCTTCCCTCACAGACGCCCCACTCCGCCACCTGATGAGGTTGTAGTTCACTGCACAGGAGCACCTGCTGATCACCATCTCGTGCTTCCATCCTCTTCCTTTCACGGCAATCCCTCAGCAGTCTGCTTTTTTAGTTATTATCTCAGCAAGAAAATGAGGAACAGATGCTGTCCAAGCCCCTTTGGGAAGGGGCTCTGGGGACCTTAAGCCTAGTTTTTTGTTTTGTTTTGTTTTCAAACTAAGTCATGACCTTCTAGGACATAACTTGGCTTTAATCACGTGTGTTTTGAAGCTGATTTTCCTTTAAAGTGACCTTGGTTAGACATCTGGTTGAAGTGACCGAGTTTGTAGCGCCCAGAAAAACAAGAGGCCCCGTGGCCCCGCGGGCTTCTCTCACCTGAGGCGAGCTCTCGACCACTGGCAAATTTGACACCTCTTCCGAGATGTCCTTTGGGATGAGCGCTCCCCAAAGTCTGCCCAGGGTGGAATGTAGTAGGAAATCATTGGAGAGAGAGTGTATCCTTAATGGTTCTGTCTGTGCTGTGGAATCTGCGGGCGATCTGGTGTTTCCTTAAAGGAGAGACCTTGACAAGTGAATCACATGCTATGCAAACCATAGTCATTAAATACTTTTTAAACTTGAGCCAGTTTCTGTTGCTTATCCGTGTCTACCCTCGGGGGTGTGAATCAGTTATTTCTGGGGGAGGGGAGTCGGATTTCTTGTTAGAAGACAACTTGCTCCCTTTCAAAGTCTAAATGTGACTCGGACACCTCCCCCCCACCCAGCATTAACTCAGGACCCTCAAGCTGTGTACTTCCAGGTGTCTCAGCTGAAGGAAGGCTTGCCCGTCTCATTCCCCAAATAGGCTGGGTGACCAAACCTCAGTCTTTTGTGTTTTTGCTTTTTTAACAACACGGCATTAAAAGATTTTGTCCTAGGGGGTTAAACGAGGGTCAGGGAAGGGATTCCGGCAGTAGAGTCAGAGGTCATGGTGAGGACAAGGTCAGAGCCTGGGGAAGGGAGCCTAGCAAGATTCAGGCTTGTTGTTGTTAGGCCTGTAGTTGAGGATACGCCACGAGGGAACAGTCATCAGGCCCTAGACAAAACACTGACCAGCCCTGGCTCTGGAAGAGGATCTTCTTACAGTGCCTAATGCTGGGTTTGAAATTACGGAGAAAATTCCAGACCCTCCAGTCGTTCTGCCTGGAACATTGCAACCACCTCCTCATCTTTTTCATTATTATTATTATTAAGGCCAAAGAATTCTTGTCTTCCTTTCCCTAATGTTTTCCAGCATTAATATGTAAATGTAAACATCAGCATTCCCACAGACCTCCCAGACAAGCCCTACAACATAATTGCTTCCAGTCTACGTGGCCCTGGAAGGGCTTGGGGCATTGAAGAAAAATAAATAATCCAACAACTAGGATTTCACATTTCTGTTGATCTGGAAATAGACTTAAAAAATCCCAGTTGTCTTAACAGTTCCTAAAATGAGACCTGTCTTATTCCAGCAGCCTGGTGCCCAATAAGAAATGTCTCCTGGTCACACTTAGAGCAAATCAGACTAAGTGCACTGTTTAAAGGGCTTCAAACACAAGGGACCCGAGATGAAGCTCTGGGGAATGTATCTGTGAAACGGACGTAGGGGCCACTGATCCAGGCAGCAGAGGATGGGGAAGGGAGAGAACGGTAAGGCTGTCAAACCCAAGCTTCCTCACCCTCGGTGGGCGTTCTTTGAGTTCTGATCCCCCCACCAGACTGTATGAGGAGTTTGGTGCAGGCAGAATCGAGGGCCTCACCTTCAGGCCTGTCAAAAGCTTCTGGTGATGATTGTGACCCTAACCTTGGAGCCTCCCTTGGAAGCTCTCTGGGCTGCCGCAGCTTCATCCCTAGCCATGATTTCAATGCAGACAGTCACCTGTGTCTTGGATGGTTTGTTTCTCCTGTTTCTTCTTAACTCTCCAGCCAGCATTTATTAAATGCCTGCTGTGTACAAGACACCATGCTGGACGTTGGAGATGCAAACAAAGAATGCAAATAGTCCCTTCTCTCAAGGAGCTTCTGTGGGAAAGGCAGTCTGCTATAATAGAGTTGCTGGCCTTGGATTCAGGAAGACTTGAGTTCAAATCCTGTCTCTGTGATTTTCATACTCGCAGTGTAACCTTGGACAGGTCATTTCACTTCTGAACCTGTTTTATTCCTCAGTGAAATAGGAATGATAACAGCTTTTGTGAGGCTCAAATGAGGTAATGTCTGCAAAGGGACCGACAAATTTTAAAATGCTGTATTCGTGGTACAATACAATACAGTTATTGTATCCATTGAGGAGAGGTACATAAAACTTCCCTATCTGATAAAAATATTTTGGGGTTGGGGACAAGGAGAAGGGAAAAAATTTGTTTTTCATCAATTTCAGATTCTTAAAAAGTGATCCCAAGGCTGAGAGACCTTCTGCTCAGGTGAAAAAAGTCGCCATTTGCTCCATCTAGCCTAGCGTCCTGCCCCTCAGCACTTAGAAGCCAGGGTTATGCTGGGCGAGCTAAGTTGAAAATTGAGGCAATTACTTAAATGGGAGCCGAAAGATCCAGGTAATTCAGATGAAAGCAGCTATTTGGCCTAATCCAAATTACTGCCTCCATTCTGCACTTGGCTTTGGCAGTAGGCTTAGAAAATTTGGTTCTTTCACTCTTCTAGCTGAAAAAAGAAAAAAGCCTACCAACCCAAGATGGCAGACTAGCTCCTCCTCTAGAGCATCTCAAGTTTTCCATAATTCTCCCTTATGTCTGATGATGATGGCGATTACCAAGTTGGACTGATCCAGTGAAATGATTTGTCTTTACTCAAGAAAGAAACAGTGATCCTCTGGGGGCAAGCAACATCCCAGCTTTTCTTAGCCTGGGCCTGGCAGGCCCTGCCTCCCACACATTTCCAGAAGTCTAAGCAGTTTGTCCCGGGTCAGGAACATATCATGGTTAGGAATTAGTGGCTCACCAAGGACCCCTGGGTTTCTTCCTCTTCAGCTTTCTGTATAAATGGGCACCCGCGGGCATCCATTTATAGCAACAGTGGGCAAAGACCACTGTCTCCACTGTCCATTCCCCTAAGAAAAATGAGACCTCAGACAGCTTTCCAAGTCATGTTGTTCATTGCTGGGTATGGGAGGAGGTGGGGCAGAGGAAGGAAGTGACTGACATGAGTGTGCCCTGCCTGATGTGCCAGGGCCTGCTCTGGGAGTCTGACTGACTCCATGGCATAGCTGCTGCCCATGAGGTAATTTCTGACCTCACTCACAGCACTGCTCTTTGCCAGCTTAGGAGAGCTAGGCTGCTAGGTGGTACAATGCATGGTGTGCCTGGCCTGGAGTCAGAAAGAATCATCTTCCTGAGTTCAAATCTGGCACTTACCAGCTGGGTGACCCTAGGCAAGTCACTAATCCCTGTTTGCCTCAGTTTCCTCATCTGTAAAATGAGCTAGAGAAGAAAATGGCAAACCACTCTAGTATCTCTGCCAAGAAAACTCAAAATAGGGCCATGGAAAGTTGGACACAACCAAGATGACTCAACAACGACAGTGCCATATAGCAAAGCCAGAGAGCAACGACAACACTGGGTGTATAGATAGACCTCACAATAAAGAAGGGGTCTGTGGCTGTGGCAGAGCTTGCCGAAACTTGTGAAAGCAGTGTTGCTGAAGATAGTCAAACCTCTGTGGGATGGATGGGAGCAAACTGTATCTTGGGAATGAGAGTAACAGGTGACACAGTAGATAGAATGCTGGGCCTAGAGGCAGAAGACCTGAGTTCAAATCCTATCTCAGGCACTTCCGGGGCAAGTCCCTTCACCTCCTTTTGCCTACATTTCCTCTTCTGTAAAATGGGGGGTAATAATGGCACCTCCGTCACAGAGTCATGAGGATCAAATGAGATAATATCTTTAAAGCACTGTGCAAACCTCCAAATACCATATAAATGCTAGCGCCTATTACTAATGCCTGCAGACCCCTTGGTCTAAGATTATTCCTCTGTCTCTTGTCCTTGTGACTCTGCCTTTCTTTAATCAGCCTACTAAGAAAACGCCATTAGGAGGATCTTGTATTTCTTAAGTTACTTTGGAAGCATATTCCACAATCTAGATGGAGGATGTGGAAGCTCCCTCTATTCTAATCTATATTCTGTCGCCAGTATCACCCCCTTGACCTTGGTCAAGGTCAAATCACTTAGCCTTTCCCAGCCTTTTGTGGGGGTGTTTTTTGACAGCTTGTTGATGCTACGGCATTGGGGTGTCTCTTTTTAACATCCCATCCGTTCCCAACGTCTTCTCCCCTAGTAGAAAATAGAACCCTGCCTTCTGACAGAAGCACAGTTAGGCAAAACAAATGGGCATGCTGATTACATGTGACAGCATACCCTTTATCCTGGGTAGTCCCTACCATCCGCCTCCTGAGGTCAACACCAGTCATTATCTTGACTGGAATTCTGATGTCTTTCAGTGTTATTTTCCTTTACACCGGGAGTTCTTAGCTCGTGAGCTTAAATAGATAGGCAGGCAGATAGGTAGGCATAGATAGATAGACAGGTAGATAGGTAGACATAGGCAGACAGGTAGACAGGTATAGATAGATAGGTAGATAGGTATAGACAGGTAGATAAATAGATCAGTGGATAGATAGGCAGGTAGACAGGTATAAGCAGGCAGAGAGGCAGATAGGTAGACAGATCAATGGATAGATAGGCACACAGGTAGATAGGTATAGATAGGTAGATAGATAGGCAAATAGGTAGACATCAATGGATAGATAGATGGGTAGATAGGCAGATAGATGAACTATATTTCACTATAATTCCTTTTCTTTATCACCCTCTGTTCACTTAAAACCATTCTGAGAAAGGGGTCAGTGTGCTTCCTCAACCTGCCAGAGGGGGCCATGACATAAAAAAGGTTCAGAACCCCTGCTTTCTATTCCTGTGGTTATGATGGAAATACTTTTCCAGGTTCTGCTTACATTGCTCTCTATCCATTCATGCAAGTCTCCCTAAATTCTTAATATTTGTCTCTTCATCACTACAGTAGGGGAAGCTAGGTGGCATAGTGGGTAAAGTACCAGGCCTGGAGTCAGGAAGGCTTATCTTCACAAATCTGTCCTCAGACACTGTCTCATGGTGTATAACTCTGGGCAAGTCATTTCACCCTGTTTGCCTCAGTTTCCTCATCTGTAAAATGAGCTGGAGAAGGAAATGGCAAACCACTCCAGTATCTTTGCCAAGAAAACCCCATAAGGGATTACAAAGAGTCGGACAAGACTGAAAAATGACTAAACTGAGATGTCACAAGGTTTTCAGTACATTCACATACCCCAGTTTGGTCGGCCATGCACCAATCAATGGGCATCCCCTCTGTGTCCAGTTCTTTACTGTCACGAGAAGTGCCACTATAAATATTTTAGTATATATGAGGTCTTTCCCTCTGCATTGGACCTCCTTGCAATATTCGCCTGAATAGTGCTTTAATAAGGCTTTGGGGACTCCTACCTCAGTGTCCTGCTCTGATGCCTCCTCATGGCCTAGAAGTAACCCTAGGTTCTCAAAGGTTCTGCCAATGGAGCTTAGGCCTTGGCAGCGTCTGCCATGCTAGAAAGGCTTT